TAGATGGTAGGGGACCACATCCTAGTTTTTCTCACCCTCTAACAAAAACCTCTTGCTTTCAATTCAAAAAATGCTAGAAGAGAGGAGGCAAAAAGGTAAAAAAGTGTATTTGCCATGTAATTGGCAAAGGCATCCAAACAGAAAAATCTGAAGTTTGTTTACCTAGACCATAAGTTCTTGAGCAAGCATGTTCTTGTAGCCAATCTAAGGTAGCTTCAAAATTCCTCCTGGTTTCCTCGCAGAATCTAGAAAAGAGCAAAAGATAAAGTACCTCTCTTCACCGTTATCGTTTCCATGTTTCCCAACTCTTTTCCCCTCCATCATCAGTTTCTCCCTTCTTACGTTTCCAAGTTCTTCAGGCACTGAGATGTCTGTTTCTTCCAGTTCTCTTCTCCATAATCCAAGTACCTGGGAGTAGACAGATTGATTTTTTTTTTTTTTAAGTCAGAGATGAGCAAAGTGACTAAGGGAATTTTCTTGCTGTAAGAGAGACTAACCACTGGTCACAAAGAGCCACGACACATTCATCTGAAGACCGGGACATCACTTGTTTCTCTGGTTCCATGTAAATAAGTGCATCTCCCTAAATGAAGGTAAATAAAAATATATTAGATACTACATCAAATCAATCTCCATTCCTCAAGGATGATAAAAAATACTTTTTTAAAAAATGCTATATCACCAATAACAAAAATTCCACATTTCATTATGTCTTCCCCCTCTTCCCAGGGTCAAGTTTATCTGCCTTTCCCTCTATAAACAACACGTGCTTTTGAAAAATTATGATCTTCATTAAGTGGACCACTTTCCCTGGCTATAACAGATTATTCCTTTTCAGTGAAAAATGAAAGACGTTTAGCAATTTCTAATTCTGTGGTTTGAAGGTTATGCTTCCTATGGGAGCTTTTTATCCTTGTTATAATAAAAATATAAAGAAAATAGGAAATTAAATGCATGGAAGCACTGCTATTAAAAAAGAAATAGATACACAAAGACTAAACATGGAAAACCTTGTTACTAAAGATTTATAGCATCATGGAAAATTCCCACTAGAAAACTGACCATGAGTTTGATTTTTTACCAAATATAAATATCTCTTAATGTATGCTCCCAAACTTTTTAGGTTAGAATAATTTTTAAAAATAAAATTCAGCCTTATTACTCATAAAATGATTCATTGTTCTGTTTTTAATGCAATTCTTCATGCTAAAATTAAATAGCTAGAATTCTGGTTTAAAGATGATAGATTAAAAACAGACTCCCTCTCAAAATTCCAATAAAATCACAAGAAAGGTTTTTTTAAATTTTTTTAAAATCCACATACTATAATGTGAGGAGGGTTTTTTTTAATAGCATGAATCTACAAAGACAAAAAAAATGGAAGAAAAAATATCAACGAAATTTTGAAAACCAAAAAAGAGGATGAGTGATAACCATATTGGCAGGAATAATAAAGCTAGCTGAATCCTAAGCCAGCAGTAGAGAAAGCTGAAAAACAATTCAGTTTGTACTATAAACCTCCAAAAGACTTAGAAATTGATAGTATTAAATAGCTGTGGAAGTGGAGGTTAGGTGAGGCTGAAAAGAGCAAAACTGATTGAATGAAGTCTGTTAAAGACAAGATTAGCAAGTAGCCTGAGCAACACAGTGAGACCTCATCTCCACAAAAAACAGAAAAAATAAG